AACAATAGCCAAAACATGGAAAGAGCCTAAGTGTCCATCAACTGATGAATGGATCAAGAAGATGTAGTTTATCTATACAATGGAATACTACATGGCAATGAGAAAGAATGAAATTTGGCCATGTGTACCAACATGGATGGAACTTGAGGGTGTTATGCTGAACAAAATAAGTCAGACAGAGAAGGACAGTTACCATATGTTTGCACGTACAGGTGGGTTAGGAGGAACTTAATGGAGGACCATGGGGGAGGAAAGGGGAAAAATAGTTGGGGAGAGGGAGGGAGGCAAACCGCAAGAAACTCTTAAATGCAGAGAACAAACTGAGGGTGGGGTGGGAGGGTGAAGGAAAGGGGAAAATGGATGATGGGCATTGAGGAGGGCACTTGTTGGTTTAACTGACTGAGCCACCCAGGCACTTCCGAGGAGGGCACTTGTTGGGATGAGCACTGGGTATTGTATGTAAGCCAATTTGACAACAAATTATATTTTTTAAAAAGTTTTTAAATAAAAAATAATACTAGCAAACAGAATTCAGCATTATAGTGAAAGGATTATATACCCTGACCAAGCAGGATTTATCCCTGACTGCAAGGATGGTTTAACATATAAAAATTGAGTAACATAATATGCTACATTAACAGGAAAACAACCCCAAGATTATTTCAATCAATACAGAAAAAGCATTTGACAAAATTGAACACCCTTTCATAGTGAAAACACTTAACACAAACTAGGTACCTTGGGGCACCTGAGTGGCTGTCAGTTGAGCATCCAGCTCTTGATTTTGGCCCGGGTCAGGATCCCAGGATTGTGGGATTGAGCTGTGTCAGGCCCTGTGCTTAATGTGGAGCCTGCTTGGGATTATCTCTTTTTCTCTGTGCCCCTCTGCCCCTCTCCCTGCTTGCACGCTCATTCTTTCTAAAATTAAAAAAAAAATTTAATCTAAAAAAAAGGAAACTACCTCAATGTAATAAAAGCGATATATGGAAAATCTACCTCAAACATCATACTCCGTGGTGAAAGACTGAAAACATTTCCTATAAGAAGTAGGAACAAGGCAAGGATGTCTACTTTCATCACTTCTGTTCAACATAGTACTGAAAGTGTTAGCATAGTTTGGCTAGAAAAAGAAAGGGCAACCAGACAGGAAAAAAAGTAAAATTATCTCTTTGCAGATGATATGATCTCATATGTAAAAAAACTTTAAAAGATTCCAAACACCAAAAAAAATGTTAGAATAAACAAATTTTGTAAAGTAGCAAAATATAAAAACGCTCACAAAAATCAGTTGCATTTCGGGGCTCCTGGGTGGCTCAGTTAAGGGTTCGACTTTGGCTCAGGTCCTGAACCCCTGGTTAATGAGTTTGAACCCAGCATTGGGCTCTGTGCCAACAGCTCGGAGCCTTGGAGCTTGCTTCAGATTCTGTGTCTCCCTCTCTTTCCCTGCCCCTCCCCCGCTCACAGGCCGGCAAGTGCTCTCTCTCTCTCTCTCTTTCAAAAATAAACATTTAAAAAGTTGCACTTCTATGCACGAGCAATAAATCTGAAAAGGAAATGACAAAAGCAATTACATTTATAATATCAAAAAGAATAGAACACTTAGGAATCAAACAAGGAAGTAAAAGACTTGCTCACTAAAAACATTGCTGAAAGAAATTAAAGAAGGCATAAGTAAATGGAAACATATACTGTGTTCATGGATTGGAAGACTTAATATTGTTAAAATGTTTATACTGCCCAGAGTTATCTACAGATTCAGTGCAATCTCTATCAAAATGTCAATGACATTTTTGCAGAAATAGAAGACCACCCGTTTTAAAATACATATGGAATCTTAGGGGACCCAGATAGCCAAAACAACTTTGAAAAACAACAGATCTGGATAACTCATACTTCCTGATTTCAAAATTTACTACAAACTACAGTAATCAAAGCAATGTGGTATTAACATAAAGTCAGACATATAAATCAATGAAATAGAATAGAGAGCCCAAAATAAAGCCTCACCTATGTGGTCAAAAGATTTTTGACATGTGTGCCAAGACTATTCATTGGGTAGTCTTTCAGCAATGGTGCTGGGAGAACTATATGTCCACCTGCAAAAAGGAAGTTAGACCCTTACTTAACACCACATATAGAAATTAACTCAAAATGGATTAAGAACCTAAATGTAAGACCTAAAATAATAAAACTCTTAGAAGAAAACATAGGACAAAAACTTCATGACATTGGATTTGGCAGTGGTTTCTTGGATATGACCCCAAAGATAGACAAAAAAATTGTCTATTTTTTTAAATAAATTGGAATTTATGAAAATTTAAAAACTTTTATAAATAAAAAGATATTATCAACCAAGTAAAATGGCAACCCACAGGATAGGAGAAAATATTTGTAGATCATATCTCTAATAAAGGATTAATATTCAGAATATATAAAGTCCTGAAACTCAACAACAGAAAAGACAACCTAATTAAAAAATAGGCAAAGGACTCAAATCGACATTTCTCCAAAGAAGACATACAGATGACCAACAAGTGCATGAAAAGATTCTCAGCATCACTAATCATGAGGAAAATGAAAATCAAAATTACAGTGAGATGCCACCTGCCACCCATTAAAATGGCTACTATCAAAACAAAAACCAGCAGGCAACAAGTGTTGACAAGAATGTAGAGAAATTGGAACCCTGTGCGCTGTGAGGAATGTGAAATGGTACAGGTGTTGTGGAAAACAGTATGGTGACTCCTTAAAAACTTACAAATAGAATTACATATGATCCAGCAATTCTGCTTCTGACTATATATGCAAAAGAATTAAAAAAAAAAAGAAAGCATCTCAAAGAAATATTTGTACATCCATGTTCATAACAGTATTCACAATAGCTAAAATGTGGAAGCAATCCAAGTGCCTGTCAGTGGCTGAATGGCTAAGCAAAATGTGGAACATCCATACAGTGGAATATTACTCAGCCTTAAAAATGGGGAAAATTCTGGGGCACCTGGGTGGCTCAGTTGGTGAAACATCCAACTTCAGCTCAGGTCATGATCTCGCGGTTTGTGAGTTCGAGCCCTTTGTTGGGCTCCCTGCTGACAGCTCAGAGCCTGGAGTCTGCTTCAGATTCTGTGTGTCTCTCTCAGCCCCTCCCCTGTCTACACTCTTGCACTGTCTCTCTTTCTCTCTCGAAAATAAATAAAACATTTTTTTTAAATGGGGGAAATTCTACAATACTGACAAACTTTTAGGACATTTTGCTAAAGGAAAAAAGCAAGTACAAAAAAGGCAAATACTGTATAATTCCATTTATATGAGAATCTTAAAGTAGTCAAAATCAGAGAGATGGAAAGTAGAATGGTAGTTGTCAGGGGCTGTAGGTAGTAGAGAATAGGAAGTTACAGAGTTTCAGTTTACAAGATCAAGAGTTATGGGGATGGAATGGTTGCACAACAGTGTAAATATTTAATACCACTGAACTGTGCAGTTAAAAATAGTTAAGACACACTAAATATATTTTATGTATGTTTTACTGCAATTAAAAAAAACTTACCAGGAGAAAAACATATCTTAAAGTATTCTTAGAACATTGACTTAATTTCCTGTACACGTGGAGTTTTTAGTGATTAAAATTCTTTAATTAGTATTTTGATTTATTTAATCAGATTGTATCAAGAATAGTAGGAGCTGACCTTGGTTATTATCTGTAATTGGTATTTGGTCAGGCCCATTAAATATTATAGAGATTCAGTTAAATCACATAATGGATTTCTGTATCGTTCTTGATTATGGAAATTGTGTTGTTTCAATTTAGTGATTTCTTTTGGGAGGACAGTCCAGATAGATGGATCACATTTAACTTGGTGTTGACTTTCACGTTCCTCACCTGTTACATTGAAGGAAGCAGGCTTACTTTTCAGAGAGAGTAGGAGGAAGTATTAAATAAAACTGTCAGCAACATAATTTATTTCTAATGTTCTCCTTATGTTTTCAGAATGTAAATCCAGAACCATTCAAATCATAAAACATTCTGTTTTATAAACTTTTTTTAGAAGATTTTATTTTTTAAGTAATCTTTACACCCACCATGGGGTCCGAACTCACAACCCCAAGATCAGGAGTCATGTGCTCTATATACTGAGGCTCCCCTCAAACATTCTCCTTTTAAACTCTGTCCCAAAATATTACTAGGTGAAGGAGAACAGTGGTACAGTATTATCAAAACTGAAATTTATTTTTTCAAATTTAAATGGAGCTTGATTTAAACCTAAGGGCAGAATGTCTTGATATATAACAAAAAGGAAGAGCTTTTATGTTTTATCTTTATTTTTTTTAATGTTTTATTTCTGAGAGAAAGAGACAGGGTGAGTAGGGAAGGGTCAGAGAGTAAGGGAGACACAGAATCTGAAAAAGGCTCCAGGCTCTGAGCTGGCTGTCCGCATAGAGCCTGACGTGGGGCTTGAACCCACGAACCATGAGATCATGACCTGAGCTGAAGTCAGATGCTTAACCGACTGAGCTACCCAGGCGCCTCATATTTTATCTCTAAAGAGAAGAATATAAAAGTTTGGTACACTTGAGAATTTTGGTATGATGTGGGAGTCTTTTTGGACACAGAGAATACACATTTTTACATATCTTACATGCCTAAGACTCTGTACTTGTAAAATTTTGTTGTATATAACATGAAGGCATTTGTATGAACAAATCTGAGACTGTAATTTTGTTTTATGTATATATTTGAATGAATATTAAAAACACAAAATATTTTTCTTTTTTCCTTGCTATTTCTGTAAGCAAGTTTATCTTGCAAAGATTTTTCTATAACAGTCCTCACAGTATCCCCATACGAACCTCCAATCTTAATAAAAACCTCTAACAAAATAAATATTTCATCTTTGAATCCAGTGTTTGTCACAAATGACAAAGGGTGTTCTGTCAGAAATTCAAATATAAGACTTTTATTTGTAAGAAAGTTCATTTCAGTTTGGTTAATTTCATTTCTTTAGAGCCTCCAAAATTCTTGCCCATCTCATCAACACCCCAGCCAGAGAGACGGCAGCCACCCCAGAGACGACATTCCATTGAAAAGGAAACCCCCACTAATGTAAGACAGTTTCTGCCACCCTCCAAGCAGAGCTCCCGATCTCTTGTAAGTAACCGGAAAGCTGCGTCGAAACTTGAGGAACAGTGAGAGGCCTGGAATCATTAGCTTTCGTAAGACCATGATTAGGAGAAAAAAATCTTCCAAATTTAAAATGATCTTTAAATAGCTTTATTTGTTTTTAATATCTAAAGAAAACCAATTCTGACAGTAACCTAAATGAAATTTGACCATTCTTTGTTCATTTAAAGTAGTTTTCCCCCAGAAGACTTATCAATGATTGAAAGTATGTATTATTATTAAAGAAAATGCCTTCTTCTTTTCAAAGTCCACTTAAAAATTGTTAAAACTCATCAAAAAATTAGCAAAGTCTGACTACAGTACACTATTTTATTGAGGCAGAAGGACAAGTGGAGAATTTTGATCCGTTACAAGCCGTTGTACATTGTTTTCAAGTATGGTTTATGATCTTGGAGCCAAAGCTGCTCTTTGTACTGGATGATGGTTTTGCTATTTTCCTGAGGTTTCCAGGTTGGTGTAGTGGCTTTGATTCCCAGGACAATAGGAGTAATATGCAGGACCCTGCCAGAAAAAAGTAACAGACCCTCTAACTAGAAGAGGTCTGCAAAGATTCTTTTGCAGTCCCACTTGACTTAAGAAATATTTGGAGGCGAGATGAAGGCTTCAATCAGTAATTCTACCAACAACCTAATATCTAATATTTTTTCAGATATTCCTGAATTAAAAGCACTGGAATATGCCTTCTCTATATTTTAGTCCATATTTTTAGGCTGTCTTGAATTATCAGTGGTTCAAATGAAGCAATAACTGATTTCCCTCCCTCAGAGTAGAGGAAGATAGTGTTGTTCTTGTGAAGATACCACGTTTGAACAGAGCTTTATAGTGCTGAAATTTGATCATTTATTTCTGCTCCCAAATAGGTTCAATTAAAGAACTAATGATTGTATGTCAGTTCCTGATAGAATTCCTCTAACTCCTAAATAATCACTGAAACATTAAGTATAGCCTCACCAGTAGTTTATCAGCAGAAAAACAGAACTCTTAACCAGACAGGTTGAAACTTTAAAATCCAAAGACTTTTGTTAATGTGAACAACTTAACTGCTTTAGCAAAATGTAGTTATTGTCACAACTTAAATGTATGTAAGAGATCACAAATCCAATAATCTGGAAATTCTTCTCTTCACCCAACTTTTCTCTCAGAAGCCAGTTTATCATTCAGCTGTGTACCTGGCCTTGTGATCGTATGACACCGTTGTTGATGTTAAATTTTAAAATTATGAATGTGGAGGAACTATCAGATCAGTTGAAAGGAATTTCAGCTAGTAAGAGAAGTTTTGAATAGAATAGAAGAAATACAATAGAATTAATAGAAGAAAGACCATCAGCTGACATCAAGGGCCCAGAAGTGTATTTCCTGACAAAGGGGAACCCGTAGTGTGTGGTAGGTCAGTCTCCGAGTTGTTTTTGGTGGAGAAGAGTGAGACAGAACCCTTTGCAGTCACAGAGAAGAGTCTCAGTGAAAGGCAGTGGGAGAGCACTTCGGTCGGTGCTACATGGCGTTCAGGTTCTACAGGGAACCACAGCTCACTGGAAGGGCCTCTGGGGGCCAACTGAGACAAAGTAACCTCCGGTCAGACAGAGTAGTGACTGCTCTCACTAGTTCTCTTGAGAAATCCATAGTCACACTTGTCTCGTGGTAGTGCTCTCTAGCTTGGTAAGTACTTTAAAAGTATGACAATTAATTTAAAACTTTAGCTATATTTAAGAAAACAAGGAATACTTTTGTATTTATAACCCTTTCACTGAAAATGGCAGAAATGTCTTTGTTGGTATTCATTTTTATTTTTATTGTATCTCCCTCTCTTTCCTTAGGATGTTTAAAACGTAATTTTTTTTCATCATTTGGTCAAATGATTGAAGACAATTGCCCATCTAACTGAAAGGCGACTTGTCTTTCAGTACCTTCCCCAGAGTGCCACTTGCCCATCCCCTCCACTCCATACCTCTGCCCCCCAGAGGTGGTTGCCTCTGTCCTGCCTCCTGGTGAGCCCTGTTCAGAGGGCAGCTAAGTTAGAAACATCTTAAGTTTAGGTCTCTGGTGTGTGAACTCCGAGGTTCCCTAGGAATGACTTCATGGTATGATTACTGATATACACATATGGAAGCAGATGTTGGTGTGGACATACACGTGTGGAATCTACCGTTAACGTCTTCTGTGGTGTTTTTGTTTTGTTTTGTTTTTCTTTCATGCTCTGTAACTACTATTTTCAGGTCACTCATGTTCAGCATTATTTTCTCCTTTTCTTTCCCCCTGCCATTTTCTTTTCCCTTATCTGTTGTTCAGGTTCCTAGGATAACCAGTGTATGGCCAAGGACGCCTTTCCGACCACTTTTTTCTACCATACAAACAGCTTCTCTGCTCAGCTCCCATCCTTTTGAAGCAGCCATGTTTGGGGTAGCAGGGGCTATGTATTATCTGTGTGAGAGAGCTTTTACCAGCAGGTGGAAATCCCCAAAGGTTGGCCTCTTTCTGCTGGTTCTGGGAACTATTTCACTCTATCTCTTTGACAGTGGTACCTCAGCTACTGCACTCTGAACAATTAACAGCTTAGATGGGCACTTTGCTTTTGATCGTTGATTCCAGTCATTTGTAGAATGCATAGATTACACCATGATCTCAGTTGAGAGGAACATGACCTTGAAAGGACAACAAACTCAAAATGCAGCATCGGATTAGAGGGACCCAGTCGTACGGCAGGAGGAACGCCATCTCCTCTCCATGCGCAGGGGCACTCGGAGAGCCTTGGGTGCTTTCCTCCCAGGGCCTTTCCGCCATCAGAACGACATTTGCTCCCTCACTCAGCTGCCAGAGCAGCCTCCTGCCCGGCCACATAGCCACCAGGGACTCCTCCACCCATGGAACCATGTCATTCCCTGTTTCCCACACACCCCGCCCTGAGCTCCGAGAATCTCTCCTCCCCAGCACCTTTCATACAGCTGCATTGTGTTCATCAGGGTGTGCCATGGTTTTTAGGACAACCCAGTGCTCCTAGAAGTTTTAAGCTTTCCTTTTATTGATGTGGTTATTTTACATACTTTAAATAATTATGCATCTCATTATTTTTTAGATTTTCATACAAAATTTATTTTTTAAAGAAAACATAATACTTTCCAAACTCCATTGAAATAAAAAGCCCTCAAACTATGCCAAAGCTTCCCCTGCCCCTAGAGTAGCATGTGCCGCTGACTAGTGTTTGCAGCTGCCTGGTCCGTTCTCCTTCATATAGGGTCCTGGCTCTTTGAGGTCCTTTATTTACTAAATAATATCCTTGACAAATGAACCAGGAGCTGGTTTCTTTTTTATTCTTTATTATTCATCTTGGTTTGGAAAAGAGACTCTGAATGTAAATGAAATATAACAAAATCCTTTCTCTTCTTATTTGTTATGAAATAGAGGCTAGATCTCTATTTTTTCCCCGTTTAGATTGTGGCCGTTTGGGCAGTACATGGTCAGGTGCAGGGATGGCACTTTAATTCCTACCAGTCTTACTGCTATTACTGGAGATCTGCTAACGTTTTTATTTTTATTAGCAATCCTCCCCAAACAGAGATATCTATATACTAAGTCTACATATTACTGTAGGCAAACAGTTCACTTTGACTTTTAAAGTTGAACCTGAAAAAAGAGAAGAGTGACTAAACTTAATAGGTGCTATTTTAATTTAAATCTGCCTTTGATTTATTAAAAACTCAAACAATGGTCGTTTGGGATAATTTTCAAATATCTGCTACTTACAAAGTTTTTGCTAATTAAGAATCCTGTATAAAATATGACTACTCTCATTCTCTCTGTGGCTTAGTAACCAGAGTATACATTATGCTCTCTAATTTCTGTGCTACCTAATTCTAACCCTTACCCATGGTAAATGTAACCAGAATATTCAACAAAAACTTAGCAATTTTAGTGACATACATCAAAAGTAAGTTCTAAAGTTTCATCGTTCCTATAGCATATTGTAACCTTTATCAAACTCTTTCAGATTTAGCTTCCCTCTCCTAAATTTAGGAGTGAGATTGAAGCATAAAGAAGCAAGGGTATTTTAGAGTCCATGTCTGGCTGTGACAATGAGCTCTGTCCATGAGGAGGAATGACCAAGGCCTTTCACTCACTGTTAAAGCCCTGAATGCTCCTTACATTTTGGAGCTTTGATATCCCAGCAAGATCTTTTAAGGTTAAGGCTTAATTTGGCTTTGGGGATGTTTAATTTTTTTTTTCAATTGAAAAAATAAAAACTATTCTAGTAACTATTATTTTCTTTCATGTTGCATTAAAGTTTTGTTGTCCTTGGGAAAGCACCAGAATTAAAACATTAGCATTTGACCTGATGGAAATTATTTTACTAAACAGTAATCTGCTTGAAAGTTAGAGAAAGAACAAGAACACCCACAGAAAACACAATTTCTAATTATGTCCAGTGAAGCACTAGATTTGCATATGGTTCAAAGCAGGAAGTTGAAAGTATGCTTGACTAAGGCCTTTTGTGATTTAAGACTGAGAAGAGGGAAGTAGAGCCTGTCAGGTCTATTATGTGTGCTAGGCTCTCCCTGCAAATAAAAAGGATCCCCATCTACCGGAAATGTTTACCGGCCCAGGCATCCCAGTTGTAAAGTTAATTAAATTGGCACTATTTGCCGCTTCTCACAGCAACAAATCTCAGGTAGTGATTCTCTGATTAGTTGCTAGATTCATACATCATTTTGTTCCACCTCAGCAGTTTTGTCACATAGTTAACTATCAGAAAATGCACCACAATCATACTCAGCAAATGAATAAAAAAGACCATAGGAAAACTTCTTATGAAATATGATAAAAGCTGAGAAAAGCCATCATTCAGACGTGTGCAGCCAACAGTACTTATCTCCTGCAGAATTGTAGTGGCCTAACCTTCACACAAGCAGTGCATTGTTCCCACTTGACACTAAGCTGTTTTCTCAGGGTGGAAGAAAACAGAGTGGATATTGGACAAGCCAATTTAATCCTGTTATGTTTGAAAGCTTTTCCCACTGAAAGAGAAAATTATCTGATGGTGATTTTTTAAAAAGTATTTTAGACATCTTAGAGCAAAAGATACAGTCTTCCTGAACTGACTACCTTCCCACCCTCCAGATTCAGCTTAGTATCCTCTTAAAAATTCAGTTGCAGGATTTTTTTCCAAAACATTTTTAAGCAAATTTAACCTTCTTTTAAGTGAGCCTGACCAGACATGATTTTGTATTGATCGTTAGTAAGAAGCAGTTCTTCAAACTACTTTTTTTTTTAGTAAATGCTAATGTTTATCAAGTTCGCAACCTAGATTTGTTTTTGTTTTTTTCTGATTGAAAGACAGAACTGAATGTTAAAACTCCATAAACTGACTGCATTCATAGTCATGTGCTTTCTCATTTGGCTTGTTCGATTCCAGAATGCCTGTGAGCAGTGCTATTGTGTGTGTGTGGGAGTGAATTATAATGTGTTTGTACTGAGAACATTAAGTCTCAGTGTCCCTACGCCACAATGGCCCCTGTGAAGCCTGGCAGGGTGAGAATGCACAAGACCGTTCTGTCTTTCTATTAGACCCACCAATCAAGCACAGGGCCGGATGGGGAGCAGATGGGGGTGAGGCTCTTTATTCAGTGGGATCAGTTACATCAACATCTTCCTCAGCTGTTTTTAGGGAAGCCGTTACCATAAGACAGCCAGCATAAATATTTATTGTGAAATTCTTAAGATTTTCTCCACGTCCTTCCAGTGCTGATTGTGCATTCAGCAGTTGTTTAAAAGTAATAACAGAAATCTAGAGAACCGTGGGGCAGCCTGTAGAGGTTGCTTTTGGCTGGAAACTGCACCAGTAGTTACATGTTACAGTTCTGCTCATACCATTAGGATGTTTCTTGATGTGCTGATGTAACTTACCACTAAATAATGCTTCTCAGTATAAATTACTAACCACCTCCTTTTGGCTATTCTGGGTACCACAGACCAGTTTTGTAAATAGTACCAGTGTTGTAGATTTGTTATTTATCTACTAGCATATAGTATACAACACAACAGGAAGCAATGTCTTTGCATAATTGTAGGAGAAAATAGACATCAATTTGGTTTAGAACAAGAAAATGTTCTTTCAAGATTTTGTTACATAGATACATAGCTCTGCTTAATGGAATAGAAACTTGAGGCAAAATATATACCCTGATGTGAGGAACTTTCCTTTCCTGGAAATTTCAGTAGGCTATAATGTTTGACATGGTCCCCAGAAGTTTTCTGCCATCTGTTGTCTTAGTGTAATTAGAAATTATGTGGTCCCCAGAGTGAGCCAGCTCTGTCCCGGTGTTCGTTGGGAAACCTCTTTTCTTCTCTGAAGCTACTAACCAGGTGTCTGATCTGAAGGGAAATTGTGCAGTGCCAGAAAAGGGGGGGTGGGATTTCTTATTCATGTGGAATTTTGAATTTCAGGAGGAATTCTGCTATCCAGTGGAATGCCTCGCTCTTACTGTGGAGGAAGTGATGCATATTCGTCAGGTCCTGGTGAAGGCAGAGCTGGAAAAATACCAACAGTATAAAGATGTCTACACCGCCCTGAAAAAAGGAAAGGTAGAGCTATTTAAAGTTGGTTGATAAGCAGGGTTAGAGGAATGGTGAGTCCCAGGCCTGGCCTCCTGAGGGAGTGGTCTGCTGGCAGCCAGATGGTACAGGACTTTTAGGAGATTTCAGGAGGTAAGAGGCTTATTCTCTACTACACAGTTCCTGTTCTGCTTTGCTTACAAAAGGGAATATTTCTGTTTCTCCCTGAGAAATCAAAAACTTTGGAAGACTTAAAAACAACCATAATAAATAGTGGCATGCCTTCATAAAATCATGTCTGCATTTAGTTGTTATACTTTTAAAGGATTTATAAAGAAAATACATCTGAAAAATGGAAGAGACTGTCTCAGAACCTTCTTCAGATTGATTCCATGATGGTGAGCCTCTGAGAGCTGTAGCCATTTACTACCTTTTAAAAGTGGAATTAAAAGTAAATACAGAGCCAAATTATAATTCTCACAGAGCCAAACTTGAAAACAGGGTTTCTGAATTCTCTTTTTCCTTCTGTCTACTAAAGGTCCCCAATATGTATAAGTATATTTAGTCATGTAAATTAGGAAATTAATTGTTGGCAATGCTCTTCTCTCCCCTTTAAATTTGTATTTTTTAGCTCTGCTTTTGTTGCCGAACCAGGAGATTTTCCTTCTTCACCTGGTCTTATACCTGTCAGTTCTGTAAGAGGTAAGGTTTTTTGTAATTGATGACAGTAGTCCAATAAATACCAGTTACATTCACTGTTTAGTCATTTTTCCACACAGGAACAGTATTAGAAATTACCCCCATTCATTATCACATCATGTTGTACTTGTGGATTAGTAATACTGATTTCTTCAAAAGAGTAGAGCAGACACTTAGTGTTAAAGCTGGAAAATGTTTCTCCGTATGTACTTCTTTTACATAACTAAGGTGATCGTAATAGTCATATGTCCTGTTTAAACAGAAAAAGTAGATGTGATTGTCACGTGATCCTTCCCTGGATACACAAGTAAGAAATCCCAGACAGATGTGAATTGATCCTTTTACAGGAAACAATATAAGAGTTCAGTTTCACAGATTGTCTCCTCGGCAATCCATGGTTGTGTCAGTCCGTTACATTCTGGTGGAAGGACCAGAGATTTTGCAGTTTATTATAGAAATTCACAACCACGCAGCCATTGACTTCTCTGACTCTCGGGTTGCATCACATCGATGCTGAGTAACACTTCTGATTTTATATACAGGCCCGTGTGTTCACAGTGTTGTAAAAAGGTAAGCTAAGCTTGGCAAAATTAAAACTTGTGTTAATTTTAAGGAGTCTATCTCTTTAACAGTACTGCTCACTCTGGTTTCATTTGGGATCATAGATGCGGCTGCCCTCTAAACCATACTCCACTCTTCCCATCTTTTCTTTGGGACCTTCTACCTTGCAAAGAGGGGAAAGTTGCTTGAGGTCAGAAAAACCCCCCACTGGCCACCATCGGCCACTCCGGAGCATTGCCAGGTGAGCAAGAGGCCTGAGACTTCACTGTATGAAGGAAGAACGCTCCTTTTGAGGACCAGTGACAAAGTAGGGTTTGGGCTCAGGGTGCTTTAGGTTGGGTGGCTGGGTGGTTGGTTTTAATATAGTCTTGACTTGCACCCAGATCTCCAAAACTTGCCAAAGGTAATTTGTCAAGGGATAATAGCTAGCCACTTAAAGCATACTGAAATGTCATCATTTTTTTTTCTACTTTAGAGATCATTACTTTTGTAATGTCCTTTAAAGTCATCTTTAAAACTGACCTTATCATCAGGGGAGTTGAAAACCTACACATAAAGTTTAATCTTTTTTTCCTCCTTAGTTTTGAAAGCAAATCTGTTTAGTTCTTGGTTTCCAGCGGTCTTCAAGAACTTTGGTTTATCTTCCTAAATAAGGCAGAAATAAAGCTTTATGCCAGGAGCTTTATGGCAATTAAAAAAAATAAAACCTGAAATCAGTCCCTTTGCATTTAATGCAGGGTAAGGTTAGTGTTGGTCGTTGAGAAAGGATGGAGATCAGGGCAGCTCGGCTCACGTACTCACATACTCAGGCCAGAAAGGCTAGGGTTTTACCCACCAGCTGCCCCCCATTGGGGAGGGACATGGCACTGGCACTGAGTGCTGGGCAGCACCACTCCTGCACACAGCAGCTGTGGGCAGTGAGGCAAGGAAGCTTTGAGCCCAGCAGGTGACGTGTGCCCGGCATTGCCACCCCCTGTGCTGTCCACTCTGCTCTGAGACACTGCTGCTCCATGGCAGCCTCCGACTGTCGATCGTCACCTGTGAGCTCGAGACCACAGGACATGTTGTTGTTCCTTTCTGTACATACTCTTCACTTACGTTCCTGTTTGGTTTAACTAAAGTAGTAAATGAGTAGATGATTCCCAGTTCTTTCAAAAAGATTACCCAGAGTAATTATTATGATGAGGTCTGGTGAACTCCAGCTCTCTGGAATCCAAATAATTAGTCATCTTAATGTAGAGAAGTTTGGGGGAGGGGAAAGTGTATTTGATAAATGTAAAAATGTTGAGATAACTTTGCAGATTAAGACACATTTACTTCAGCTTACTGTAGTCTGCCCCACAGTCCATAGTTAAGTAATGTTCATCAACCCTGACACAGAGCCACTGGAGAAAGAATTTGAAGTTCCTTCTGAATCACCAAGAGGAGGTTAGCAACATGTACTTTGTTTCCTTTTAGTTGTTAAAGTCCGCTAGACATCATGTGTGGTACTCAGGTGAATACCCTGAATATCCTTTTTTCTAAAAATTCTAAAAGGGATACTGAGAGTTTTCAGTATTATTGTTTTTTAATAAAGTGTGTTTCCCGGCCTCTTTAAAAAAAATATTTTGAATTTTATCTTCAGTTAAAAATTCTTCCTTTGGAAGAACATGAGGTGACTCGCCCATTCAGTAGTGTTTTGGCAGCAGATTTACTTTCTTTTTGCACCTAGTTTCTTAGGATTGTGAAAGAACTGTAAGTGACAATACTGGATTCTAAATGTTTTGTTTTGTTCCAGGTTCTCCTCAAAATCTAAGTCTGTGGACAAATCAGATGAAGAACTACAGTTTCCCAAAGAGTTGATGGAGGACTGGAGTACTATGGAGGTGTGCGTAGACTGCAAAAAGTTCATTTCGGAAATCATCAGTTCGAGCCGGCGCAGCCTGGTGTTGGCCAACAAAAGAGCACGATTAAAAAGGAAAACACAGTCATTCTATATGTCCTCACCGGGCCCCTCGGAATACTGCCCTTCAGAAAGGACTATCAATGAAATCTGAGCCTGTGCCTTTCGGTTGCTTTGTGTTCAGAGTCGGCACGAGCATGGGAGAAACACTGAGCTGCACTGTCTCCTTGCTGCGGTCTTAGCTAATAGGCTTGAATTCTCATTAGATCAGGTTTTTGCTGCATCACGTTGTTCCACAGACTGAATGCTGTGTTCATATCGATTGATGGTACGTGACAGGTCAGCCAATTGCTCATTTGCACTGAGAGAGAACAATAGTTTGAAACTTGCCTGTGTGTGTGTGTGTGTGTGTGTGTGTGTGTGTGTGTGTGTGTGGATTTGGAGGCCAGAAACTTTTTCCTTAGTTCAATTCCTTACCGTTCCCTCAGACAATTTCCGGACTAAGGCAAAAAGCTTCTCACGTGAGAAATCAGCCTCACAAAGGCGTCGATGTTAGCACAGTTCTAAGCAGTAAGTCATATTGGCACTTCCACCTGACAGTGTTCCTATCTAATGTACATAGTGACCAGGCCCTGCCACGCACCAGGTACCTGGAGGCGGGGCCAGGCTGCTCATCATCTCACGGCACAAAACCTGGAAGGGTTTGCTCATACTGTCAAACTGATCATAAATTATTGTTGCTCTGAGATAAAGACTCCGGGAGGGACTTCACACCTGCATTCTAGTGCAACACATCTGGATAAACCGCACACCCAAGTGGGTGACCGTCTCCTCTTAGCTGCTGTGTTTGCCCCAGTGCAATGGATCAGTGTCTTCTGAGCGGGTGACAGGTTTTCATTCCCTATCTTGAATGTATTATGGCTACTTGTAGTTTTGCAACAGAGGTCTAAGAATTAAAGTTTCGTGGGAGTTTCGGGACAAAGGAAGGCTAAAAGTCTGTCAAGAAGTTGAGTGTATTTTGGGTAACTCTGAGGAGGGTTGTGACCGCATAGGGTGCCAGCTGTTGCCGCGCCCCAGGGACTGAGCTGGAGCTCTTCCGTTTTCAACTACATTTTTCATAACTTTGTAGTCTTAGCCATCACGACTAAATTAAGCCACAATTTGGTATCTAAGGTCTCAAGCTGAAATTAACTTATTTTTATAAATGAATTTTAAGGGGAAAAAACATTGTCTAGTTCTTTGAAAATTACAAGAAAATTAACCTGCCAGTAGGCTTTTTGGATGTTTTTTTGCACAAGTTTTCCTTGTAAACGACTGGAGTGAGTAGGGTGGGTTTTTGATGAAGGTAGGTTGGAGGGTGGCATTATATACCTGAAATTTCTCCACTTGTTTGTCCCATTCCAGGAGCTATACTTTATTATTTTAGTATGCTTACAAATGACCAATCAGATTGCCATTGATGCTTGGAAAATCAGTGAACGCACATATGCTATAATTTCCAGAAAGCTATAGGACACGCCTGTAGTCAGCACTGCAACAGCACCATTACGTAAGAGGCACGGCAGTCACATTTCATACCACAGCAGAGTAGAGTAACATTTCTATATTAGATTAACAGTAATACCTCAGAACTGCTCTGGTAGTAGTTTTTAATGGATTGAAATTTACAATTTAGTAAATGGCTTAAAATTACTTATACTTACGAAATAAACTTTACCAATTGACTAAAATAATGCATGTTAACAGTTCGTCTGTATTTGCATGTAAAAGCAGGCCACCAGAGAACCTTAATTGAGTTTGCAAATGTTTAAATTATTTTAAAGACTCTTGTTTAAGAGGTTTAAACCTTATATTGTGTGAATCTCATTTATAACATTTTCCAAGGGACTATTTGGATTCTGTACCCCAGAAGGTTTGGTGGAAGCCATACCCTTTGAGGGCCCCAGGCTTGGACCTCTAAATGACTACCAAGAAAAGGAACGGTATGTGTGTATGTATGCAGACATGACCTACGATAGTGTGCTTTTTAAAGTAATGAATAGTTTACTGCTGTTACTAAAATGTAAGAAACTAAGCCCCCACAATGAGAATTTCATTCGCGTTCACAAGGCAGATATCTAGCCTCTCTCAGTCTTTGGCTTCACCTCTTCAGGTTTATGATACTGTATGGGCTGACTTGGGTATCATAATCAGTCTTACCAGAGCATTAGAATGTAACTCCTTCAGCAGCATTAGCGAGGTTTGTCAAGCGGATGGTATGTCTACAAGAGACCGTTTGCAGAAAACTCGTAGACGTCGGATTAACATCACTTTTTGTTGCCAAAACAATTTCTTACAGTCACCCTTCCCTTACCCATGACATGTACCCATCACCTCGACTAAATTAGGTAATCCGCAGAGGGGGATTCACCGTCCTTAGCCCGGTCTGACGTTGGGCCTGCCTTCCTCTTCTTGACGACTAAAATAACATACCTTCACAGTGTTCCTTTTCTTTTCCTGGTTTCCGGCTATTCGGCATTTATACCTGATCTAGCAACAACAAAGTGGTGGCTCGCTGGCCTCAAAAGGAGCCTGGTGTGTGTGAGAGCGCCCTCGCGCGCCCCCAGCCCTGGCCTCCTGTCCCGGACCTGGTGAGCTCGCCCTGCTGGGAGGGGCTTCCTTCCCCACGGCTTAGCTTTCTCCCCGTGTCAGAGTGGTTAAGAATGCTTGTAAATAGTGTAACATATTTATTAATATTTGAAAGGCATTCATCCAGTGGACAATGGGAATTAACTCTCCAAGGGCAAGTAAACATTAAGTCAAATAATTGATAATGTCCACTGACTTAACAGTCTTACTAGATTTCAAGTCTTAAGCCTTTCAAATTAAACCAGAAGGTTGTTATGTAGGAGTTTTAAAAATGATCTTTCTTTTGAGGAGATGATGTGATTAGCACCATGAACTCATACCATGAATTTTTTAAGGCTTTTATTTTTCTAAATGTATTAATGAATATAGGACTGGATTTTAGGTGTCATACAGGAGACATGAAAGTTTTAAATTATGTTGCTATTTGCTAAAGCAAAATGGCAGAAAATTTTGTTCCTGCAAAACTGTTGAAGGGCCAGCGAGCTATCTGTACACGAACTGGACTTTGACCTGGCTTCCTGTGTGTATAAGTCAAGGTATTGCTGGCATTCAGGGTGACATGACAGTACTAAACGTTTTCCATTCAAGTCTTTTATTTTCAATAAATTTAGGGAAAAATAAAATGGCTTTCCATCGTAATTTCTGTGTTGAGTTCCTGTTGTAAAATGGTGATGTCTTTCGGTAACTAGCTGTCAGAAGCCATCTAGGTTAGGAAGGCAAGACACCTGCATCATCTGCAAGTTATGATCAGTTTGAGAGACACAACCTGACAAGGACCACGCTAGAAAAAAATTTTTTAAAAATGGAGCCATTGCCATAACTCTTCTGTACCAAGAAGCAGCGACTTCTTTTTAACCCTCAACAGTACAGGAAATTAAAATTCTGTAAATAGTATATACCATTTCATCATAGAAGTCACATGCATGGAGACAAACTATGTATAGAAAGATAAAGTTCTTCTGTATTTTTTCTAAATAGAATTCCTCAAGGGATACATTCCTAACATGTCCTGTGATAAGAAAATTTCCTGTCATAGGATGTAAGTTGCTTGAGGAGAAAATTAGGAAGATTAAACCCAGAATGAACTTAGGGAAGCTCTTATGTTTTTGTTACTAGAGAGAGAGCATCATTTTAAGGTATTTATCTGTCTCAAATATTACCCGATACTGAGTTTGATACTCATTTACACAAGCTATCTATCCCCTTATTGGTCAGGCATATTTTAGGGTCTCCTTCCACTGAAGCTTCTCTGCAAGGTATGTATAATATAACACTTTTGTGTGTCCGGCTCACTCTTCTCCAGGCTTCTCAGACTTTCTCAGTCCAAGTCAGAGTCCTAGCCTTGTACTTCCTGGACCCTAGAGGTATAGAAAACTTGGATACCACAAAGAGGAAAGCTTTGTGTAACTCTTATAACTGTATCTGTCTTTTCCCCCTCCCAGCTCCAGTGAAGGAAAATAGTTGTAAATCGGCAAAATGTAGCATTATGTAATGAGAACTATTTTTAGGAAAGGGATTGATTGCACATATGATGTGTTTAAAGACTCCAGTTCTTGTCTCTCTGCAGAATGTGCAGCTGCACACATGCACACACACACACAGATTCATTATAATGTTCATATAGGGTATGCTCCTTCTCCCATGTTAGCCAGAGGCCCGTGTGTAGAAACTTCCTTTTGTCCACCCAAAAAGCTTAGGAATTAAGAGCCTACGTAATATAAAATTCTGCCTACACTAATTAACTGTTCAGGTGCAGTTAAACTGGCAGACTGAATCTGCAGTATTATTCTGGCTCATTCCAGTATTATTCTGGCTCATTCCACTAAAATGTCTACGATGCATAATTTCTGTATTTAATTTTTTTAAGTTTATTTTGAGAGAGAGCACACACATGTGTGCATGCACATGGGAGGGGGCACAGAGAGGAGAGAGAGAATCCCAAGCAGGCTCTGTGCTGTCATCTCGGAGCCTCGATGCGGGGGCTCAATCTCACAGCCGTTAGATCACCTCAATGTATAATTTATGTATCTAGAATAGATGTTACTGTGGCAAAAATTCCACAACTCTCTTTGTACTGTTGGATTTTGATGCTTGCAGCAAAACCCAAGCCACTTCAGCATTATTGAAGCAATGGAAATAAAAGGGCTTCAGAACTGATAAGGCATGGCTCTTGAAAAGTACATCAAAAGTTCCTTTATGTCCAGCAGCTTAAGAACTGAAGATCCTCTGAATGTTTAAACTTACGCCATGTTCAACACAACTCAGTGCTCAGATTTCTTTTGCTTCCCAGAGGCCCTGGCCCTGTGGGTCCTGCACTAGGAGCGCTCTCATGAGCTGCACTAAAGAATCTCCTTGTCTGTGGACTGAAATAAGGGGGGGAACTCCCTCGCCTTGGGTGTGGCTGGCAAGGAGGGACCACCTTGAGCAAGCCTGCTCACTTCAAGTTTGCCCTTCCATATATTCTTTGCTTTGGTGTTCCCTTGTGGCCGCAGGAATGGGCTGTCAGTCCCTTTCCCTAGGGTGACACAGAGAGGACGTCACATCCCAATTCCCAGGAGCAGTAGTGTTCAGATGAGTGGAAATGCCAAAGATGAGGATTTCTGTAGAGCTAACCTGAATATCAAGTTCCTAAGCAAATATGGTATAGAAGCTATAGGGAAGCCTGTGGAAGAAATGGAAGGAACAGCAAGGCTCTGCACAGCTATCTCTGAAACAACATAGCTACTGCAGTATAGAGCTGAAGGCGTAAACGAAGATCAGAATAACTTCTACTTTTAAAAGGAAGAAATAGACATCCCAAAGAAAGAAGGAAGCCTAAGAAGATTTCAACTTGCCTACCAAGGAAAGGGAACATGATGAAATAAAAAGCCTCGAGTCTTCCTAGCACAGTAGCAAGGTCATTTCAGAAGTCAGATTCACGGGAGATAAATTTGGACTGGCAGTGTGTGTGTAACACAGTGCGCATTTCACCTCCAAGTGACTCCCAGGACAGCCTAAAATATTCCTCCAGGTGTAGCCAATGGTAGACACGCTTCCTTCTCAGTAAGAACAGGACCTTACTCTGTTCCAAAATGGGATTTGCTAGCGAAAAGGATTTTTCAAGATGAACTTTCTTCCCGATAACTGAAAAAAACTAGTCTGTAATCAGTGAAGCAAACTTTCAGCAGTACCTGGTTTCAAGTATTTGAAATGGTTCTAACTTCACCATGCTCCAGCCCGAAAGCAGAAGAGCTGCCTGACATTGTGAAAGTTCCTTAACATTTCTGGATTTCAATTTCTTGCAGTTTAAAGCAAGGGTGTTGGATGAAGTGGTCTCTAAGGTCAGTTTTATCCAGAAGAGGCATTCAACACACTGGATCAAACAACCAGTACCAAATAGGTATCGGCCAGTAAATAGTGGAGAGCCTGAGCCAACTGTAACGAGAAATTGAGAAACGTTTTTGTGCATCCAAGCCCTCCCTTTCACTAAAGTGAAACGTGAAATGACTGGTACTTTCCAAGCAGTATTTGTGTTGATGATGAACCTGATGATGTATAATACACAAATGCAAGAAAAAGTGCAAAAGATGCCCCATTTATTTGAAACTTGGGGAGGCAAAAAGTCAGCCTTCCTAACTACTATCAAGAATCAGTCTGTGTGTGTCAGTTGTACCTCAGTGTAAAAAAAAAAAAAAAAAAAAAAAAATCCTGAGTAGATCTCCCAAAATGTAAAAGAAAAATTTCAGAAAGATGTTGATATATATTAGAAGCACAAAAACACCCAGCGTTTTACATCAACAACATCTGGTTACTGATGGTTCATCTCCCAGCCGTATGCAATGGAAGACCCTGTCAGCCCTGGCAAGTCTTTGTTCCCACAGGGTGGTGTGTTTTCCTGTCAGAGATGTAAAGAGAACCAGGCAGCTATTGGGGCAATTACGTATAACAGACCATCTTCATTGCATTAAGAGGCAGCAAACGAACGGAGAACTCTTGTTATCCAGCTTGGTCAAAGGACCAGTTACCACAGCTACAGGGAGTCCCCAATATATATACCTCCCAGTGTAGTAATAATGATGGGATCCCCTGCCTGTCTCTCTTCTCCACCAAATTTGATCTCTAC